AGTTCTCACTGAGGATTTTCAGCTCTGGTGGTGTAGTGGCTAAGGCATTTGACTGCTAACCAGAAGTCTGTCAGTTCAAACCCACCAGTCACTCATCGGAAGGAAGATTGGGCAATCTACTTCCATAGTGATATCGCCTTGGAATCCCAAGGAGGGGTTGCTGTGAGTTGGATCCAACTCGATGGCAGTAAGTTTGGTTTTGGTTTGGTTTAACAGGCAGGTATCTATAGGAAAGGGTAGGCTACTCAGGGTATATACAAAGACGGCTGCTTCAGTGAAACTCGTGATAGGTACCCTGAGACTTGAGCCTAATTTTACTCAGTAATGGTAGTTTTCAAGTTCTTCTGGGAAGACTTTTAAATGTAGCACTACCTTCCCACCCTCCAACATGGAGTTAGCCCAAGTTCTGCTCTGTGGGTAGTTCACCAAGTTTGGTCCCAGAACCATCAGTATGATGAGCATCACCTGGGAGCATGTTAGAAATGCAGCTCCCCTGAGGGTGGAGGGGAGGGGAGGGAACATTGGAAAGAAAAAAAAAAAATGCATTGACCCATTTCACTTTAGTTTTGTGTCTTTCAGTATACATAAATTACATTTCAGTAAAATGTATTTAAAAAAGACAAAATGCAAATCCCCAGGCCCCACTCCAGAACTGCTACTCCCTCTGGGAATAGGGCCCAGCAGTCTGTTTTTATAAGCCCTTCAAGTGATTCTGATGCTCACTGAAGCTTGAGAACCACTGGCCTCTGCTTTCTCCTCCTCCGTGAAGTCTTCCATGGTGTTTCTCCTATTAGGACGTGAAGGTCTGTAATCTGCCTTTGTTCTAACCACCCTATTGGAAAGCCAATACATTCTGTACCTGGATTTATCCTTGCCAGAAAGTTACACTGTTCAAAGCATGAGGTTCTCTGATTCATGCTATGGTTTTTCATGGCTAAGGTGGGTTTTTGGTCACACTCGCTTAAAATATTTTCCAAGTTGAGGTTATTGTGACCATGTTCTGTGGCATAGGACTCTGGGTCTTGATTATTAAGAGAATGGCCATCCTGCCTCCCAGTTCCTTGCCAGTTAATTCTCCTGAGCAGCTGGTCTGTTTTTATCTTGTGGGCAACACCTCATGTGATGGCTCATGCTTCTTTTTTTGCATGTTGTTGTTGTCAGCTGCCTCCAACTCACTTCGACCTTATGTGCAACAGTACAGAATGTTGCTCGGTCCTGCATCACCCTCACAATCACCAGCAAGTTTGACTCTGCCTCACTGAGGTTCACCTTCACCCTCACCGGCCCTCTACTTTGCCAAACGTGCTGCCCTCCTCCAGCAGTTGATCCCATCTGATGATGTGTCCAAAGCAAGCAAGTCAGACAGTATTCTGTTGTAATCGTAAGGTTTTCATCAGCTAATTTTTGGAAGTAGATTGCCAGGTCTTTCTGCTAGTCTGTTTTAGTTATATACTACTGCCATATCTGAAATACCACAAGTGGGTGGCTTTAACAACCAGAAATTTATTTTCTCATAGTTTAGGAGGCTACAAGTCCGAATTCAGGACACCAGCTCTAGGGGAAGGCTCTCTCTCTGCCCACCCTGGAGGAAGGTCCTTGTCTTTTTTCAGCTTCTATTCCTAGGTTCCTTGGTGATTATGTAGCATGCCTCTGCCCCTCTGTCCTTGCTGGCTTGCTTAATGTGCTCTTTTTTATAATCTCAAAAGAGATTGACTTGAAACACACTTTAGGATGATACCACTTCATTAACATAACAAAGGAAACCCATTCCTAAATGGGATTATAACAACAGGTATAGGGGTTAGGATTTATCACAAATATTTGGGGGAGGGGATACAATTCCATCCATAACATAGTTTCTTAGTCTGGAAGCTCTGCTGAAACCAGTGTACCAAGGGACACCACCACCCTTCTTACATTTGAAATACTGGTTGCATAGCTTCCAACATCATAGCAACGTGCAAGGCACCACAGTATGACACACTGACAGATGGGTAGTGGTTCCTTTGCACAGGCTGCTAGAAAGCTTTAGAGGCAAATCTGTGGCCCATCCAAAGTCATGTGCAGGCCTTTATATGGTTTGTCCTAATCTCATTCTTGGTTTTATCTTCTTTTCCTTCCATTGTTTTTTCTTAGTCCTTTTATCAACTACAGATTTTTTTTTTTTTTTTTTAGTTCATCTTATCTAGTATATTATGGATCTTTGCCAACTGCATTTATTAATTTTGGAAAGAAGGAATTTAAATAAATAAAATTCAGTATTTTACCTTTGATACATAATGTATATAAAACAATTAGCATTTAGAAGATGATGTCTCTTAAATGACCATGTGGAAAGGGTCTGTCTGATTCCAAATCCCAGGCTGGCTATACCATGTGGGCAGGGATTCAGTTCAAACTTTTTTAAAACTCAGCAAACAAAGTGGGAATTAGGGTTATGTAAACAGACAAATGAAATGTATTTAAGACAGACAGGATAGAAGACCTTTTAATAGATGTTAAACCTTCCTCTTCCAAAATATTTGCTCATAAATCGACAACTACAAAAGTAGGGTAATTGTGAAAACAATTAGCTCCTGCGATTAGAGATGCCCTAGAAACTCTTAGCTAAAGAACCTGTCTGATTACCAAATGGTGGTGGATGCATTGCAGTTCTGTTACTATTTGAATGATACACTTTGCTCTATTTACTTTGTAATTTGAAACTCAATCAAACTTTTTTAAAAAGTCGATATACAAATTTTTCATAGATTTGCCTACTTCCGAGTTAACCTCAACCCAAGTTGTTTGGTTATGTTCTCAGTAAAATTGCATGAGGTGTCTGATTGGCTTGGTGTGTGACCTTAGCCTTGTGACAGGATAGCCCATGCCTCCCCCCCTTATTTCTCACCCCTCCGCAGATGCAAGAGGGGAAAGAGTGTACTTGTGGCTGCCATTCATTGACTATCCCTACATACCAGCCAGGGACCTGATGGACTTTTGACTTCATCTGTAATCTTCACAAGTCTAGCAAGGCAGGCTTAAGGTTTTCTAGTTTATGATGCTCTGTGTTAATCCCATCTTTAATTTGGATACTAATTTGAAATAAACTGAAACTTGAAAATTTGAGTAGGAAAAAGTTTTTGAGTATGCAGGTGGATGCTGAGCAGAACTTGTAATAAAGTAGGACTCTGTTCTTGCTGAATCCTCACTGATCAAGAACCCAGTGATACAATGGATATAAAAGTAATCATTATTATTATAGTTTGGTACAGTGTAAGAGACTATTACATAAATGACATTTTTCATGGCTTGACAACGTTAAGTGTCTCTAATAGGGAAGGAGCTATGGTGGTGCAATGCTTAAGTGCTTGGCTGCTAACTGAAAGGTCAGCGGTACAAACCCACCAGCAGCCCCACAGGAGAAAGATGAGGCAATCTGCTTCTATAATGATGCCTTAGAAACCCTATGGAGCAGTTCTACTCTGTCCTATAGGGTCGTTATGAGTTGGATTTGACTCATTGGATAATTAATAGGGAATAGGGTTTGAGCTGTTCTTTAAAGTTAGAGAATCTAGAGGTTGTCTTTATTAGGTCGAGGAGGAAGCTCCTCTAGAAGTCGGTTGGAATGAGAGCAGCAGTTGTCAGAAATGGGCCTTTCCATTCATGAAACACTGATAACTGGGGTGTCAAAGATGGCACGTGAACTCCTGGTTATTCTCTGTTAGATCTGAGCAGTACTTTAAATTTATAGATCTAGTTCTCAGGAATCCTGCAAGGAGAGATACGGAGGTGAAATGTGTTTATTAAGTGGCAGCCTTATAACTTAATAGGAGCAAGTGTGTGCTTGTTGTTGTTGTTGTGTGCCGTCGAGTCGGCCCCGACTCATAGCGACCCCTCCTTGGGTTTCCGAGGCAGTATCACTACGGAAGTAGGATTGCCAACCTTCCTTCCGAGGAGTGGCTGGTGGGTTTGAACCACCAGCCATCTGGTTAGCAGGCAAGTGTCTTAGCCACTATGCTACCACACACAGACAATTTCTCCAAATAGATCTGGTTTTCTGCTGCTGAATCTCTGCATCTCCCTCAATCTGTTAATTATGTTCCTTCCTCCAGGCCTGAAGCCGTTTTTGCCAGTGTTGAGCTGTCATCAGGTCCCCTCTAAACTGTGATTCTTGGTACCTGACAGCCAGTGTAATCCAGTAGCCCCATGTGCATATGCTCAAATATGCAGAGCAGGGGCCTTCTGCAGCTAGATCTGTCAAGCCCAAGTCTGGGCTTATTCCAGACCCTTGTATGTTTATGGGAGAGGCTTGCCTAGTCTTAAAGATTTGCTAAAACGATGTCCTCATGTACCAAAAATCTTGCCTAGTCTTTTAAGAAAAAATAAAACCTAAAACTCACTGTGAACCGATGCTTGAGTACGTTGTTCTCTTAAAGTATTCCATGTGAAGATGAGCTTTGTGAAAGCTTTTGTTTCCTGGTGATTTCGTGATGACTTCACTCTCTGTTCTAAATTCTTTTCATTTTGAAGTAAACTTAACCATCACCCCCACTCAAGGCTGATCTGGATAAAGAATGCCGAGTTCTGAGATAATGGCTACAAACTACGCTTAATTAATCACTTCATTCCTAGCTGAAGGCACAAGTTAAGTGCAGGCTGGTGGTTTGTCCTTTCTCCTGTTGTAGAGACATGATTAGCCTGTATTAGAGGTGAACAGGGTAAACCAGGGCTAGTATAATATCAGCTCCCCTGCCCTCTTTACTGCCTAGATGTGATGGCAAATTCAGCCAGTGAGATTGTGGACCACAAAATTGTGGGGTTTCTGTGTATTATACATTTTCTGATCTCCTTCAATGCAAATGAATCAAAAACAAATGTGTGGCTTTTACTATAGAATGGAGGTCGTCTTCAAATTCATGGAATTTAAAAAAAAAATCTGCTCGGCTCTCTGTATTTCCCACTGAGTGTAATGACTTGTGTGTCTTTGTTTTCTCCTTTCTCTTCCTGTGGGCATGTAGCACGTGTGGAGTGAGAGCGAAGACTGCCTGCCTTTCTTGCAGCTAGCGCAGGATTACATCTCCTCCTGCGGCAAGAAGACGCTCCAGGAAGTCTTGGAAAAAGTCTTCAAGTCTTTCAGACCTGTAGGTGCCTGCTTGGCTTCTAAAGATGGCTGGCTTGCTTGCTATGGTGATGGTGTTTTGAATAATGTGGATTGCGGGGAAAGTGGGCAAAACCTGGGATGACTAATTGTTTTTCTCTTGTCTGCCCTGTGGCTTAAAGATAGCAGCTAGTGCTGGGAGGATGGGGGCGGGGAAGGAGGGGATGTGACACAGCTGTTTGTTGCAGGGATAATGGTTATTTCTAGCATCACTTGAGTTGAGAATCCCTGAAAAGGGTGGGAAGGAAACAGATCCTTTGTGAGACAGCTGAATGTTCCTGTTCTTACCCAGTAGGCTTAAAACCAAAATGCTTGGAAGTGCTATGGAAGTTCTCTTATAAATGTTGTTGTTGTGTGCTATTGGGTCAATCCTGACTCATAGCAACCCTGTAGGACAGAGTAGAACTGCCTCATAGGATTTCCTAGGCTGTAATCTTTATGGGAGCAGATCACTAGGTCTTTTCCCTCTCAGAGCTGCTGGTGGGTTCAAACCACCAACCTTTCAGTTAGCAGCTGAGCATTTAACCATTGCACCACCAGGGCTCCTTCTCTTATAGTAATAGAACCTATATTTGGGAGGTTGTCAGAAGGCTATATAAAGGATGTACCTCTGTGTCTGTGGGAATGGAGAAGCGTGAAACTGGATATTGGGTCTATTCTTCTTTTTCTAAACTCCCTTGGAGACAGCATGCTTTTCTCTTTCTCCCTCCACCTTGAGATTTAGGAATCTGTATGTCTATGGCTAGCTGACAGTCCCTTTCATAGCTGCTAAACACATAAAATACATACCCATCTGTTTTTTTTTTTTTTTAATTTTATTTTATTTAGATTTGGGTGAAGATTTACAGAGCAAAATCATTCTCGATACAGCAGTTCACATATACTTTGTCTCATGTCATTGACCACAGTTTACCACAATGCAATAGCTCCCCTCCAATTTCCTCCCCAAGGTACCACTTCCCAGTGTCCATCCCTCCATACTCTCCTGCCCCCTAAGCTGTCTCCCTGTGCATAAGGTGCCCTTCCTTCTCCCATGATTGTTCTCTCAAGGGCATGTGTCCACTTGAGGTAAATATTCAACTCACATACCTGTATTTTGCTTGGCTGGAAACCACAGGTGTGGTCTCAATTCCAGACCTGAAGGGTAGCTAGGGGCCATAGTCTCAGTGGTTCCACCAGGCTCTATTGGACCAGCAAACCTGGTCCCAAACATCCCCCCCCCCCTTTTTTTTTTTCCCTCCAAATGATTTTGAGTTTTGTTTCACATTGTTCTCCCTCTCTATCCAGGATCTCCTACATCCCTTCCAAGTGGATGACAGTGGTAGCCGGGCACCATCTAGTTCTTCTGGTCTCATACTTGTATAGGTTGCAGATCGGATGGTGTACCAGTCGTGGGGACTGATTGTTTCCATTAATTTTGGTTTTCTGCTTTCTTCTTTGCTCTTGACGAGGAGAGACCCATCGTTACATCTAGATGGCAGCTTGCTAGCTTTTAAGATCCCAGTCGCTACTCACAAAAGTAGGAGGTGGAACAATGTTTTGTATAGTATGTTATGCCAATTGAGTTTGATGTCCCCTGTGACCATGGTCCCAGGCCCTCAGGATCAACTACTCAGTCGCTGTGGGTAACTGGCTGTGACCAAGCAATGACCATAAGCTAGCCCCTTGTCAGTTGTACTGTACTCCTGGGGATTCTGATCCTTCACATAAACTTATAGGACCATTGTCTGCCAACCCTATATATGATCCTGGATACACTCCCTCCTTCATAGACATAGTTAATCGTTTAGCCTGTCCACCTATCTATCCATCCATATATCCATGTTTACCTTCACTGAGAACTCAGTACTGTATATGTAAAAGGGTTCATATTTGTCATCTGTACCTCCCATGTACCTCTCTATGTCTTTCTCATCCTCATTGCTGTCATATTGGTCATTCACATTTGGTACGTTGCCCTTCTCTTCACCCAAATCAATATTTACCACTATCTATCTAACGGCAATCCCTCCCCTCCCCTCCCACCCCTGGTAACCAACAAAGAAATTTTCCTTCAATAGATAAACCTTTCCTTAATTTTTACAATAATGGACTAATACCATATTTGTCCTTCTGTGATTGACTTATTTCACTCAGCATAATGTCCTCCAAGTTCATCCACGTTATGCGGTGTTTTGCAGATTCTACATTATTCTTTAGCGTTGCATAGTATTCCATTGTGTGTATGTACCATAGTTTGGTTATCCATTCCTCAGTTGATGGACATCTAGGTTGTTTCCATGTTTTGGCTATTGTAAATAGTGCTGCGATGAACATGGGTGTGCATATATCTGTTCTTGTCATGGTTCTCACTTCTTTAGGGTATATACCTAGTAATGGGATGGCTGGGTCAAATGGTATTTCTAATTCCAACTTTTGAAGGAATCGCCATATTGCTTTCCACAATGGTTGTACCATTTTACAGTCCCACCAGCAGTGTATGAGAGTCCCAATCTCTCCACAACCTCGCCAGCATTTGTTATTTTCTGTCTTGTTGAACTTTGCTACTAGTGCTGGAGCAAGATGGTATCTCATTGTTGTTTTGATTTGCATCTCTCTAATAGCTAATGATCGTGAGCATTTCTTCATATGTTTGTTGGCCGCCTGAATATCCTCTTTGGTGAAGTGTCTATTCATGTCTTCTGCCCATTCATACCCATCTGTTTTGAAGCTTACCTATTTTCCTGTATCTTTGATGGAAGGTAAAGTCAAATTACGAATGTCCCACCACTTCCCACAGGTCAAGTTCCCTGCCTACCATGTACTCTACATGTTCAGTGGTATTTGCCCTAGGATTTCTTTTCTTTTCCAAATCTTCTTCCTCTTTTAAGTGACATCTACGTCTCTGCTGAAATTTTCAAGCTTGTCTTTTATTTCTTGGAACTTAGTATGCTTGGCTACATAATAGATGGTGTCTGATATTCCAATATCTGCAGTCTTTATAAGTCTTTTGTTGTTTGTTTCTGCTGGTTCTCACTCTTAGTAGCTTTTCTGGCTTGTATGTTGGATTATCTCTGGCTGTGTCCTGGTTATTGTATTTGAGAATTTATTTATAGGTACAAATTGAACCCTAAAATGATGGCACCTTTCTCCTTTCTCCAGGAAGGACTTTTGTTTGCTTGTTCCATGGCTTGCAGGGCCCTATCAGGCCCTGAGACCACCTTGAAATAGTTTAAGGCTTGTTGATCTCTGAACTCTCCTAGTAATAGAAAGCCAAGCTACATGTCGGTTACTTCTAGTTCATCCTCATCCTGAGGTGGGTAGGCCCTTGGGAGCCCAGCTTCAAGTGGGTATGGTTTATCACAGTCTGCTCCTTTAGAAGACTCGTGGCTTTAACTTTTGTCCCCCTGCCTCTTTGGCCAAACCAAAAACCCAGTGCTACTTAATTGATTCTGACTCATAGTGACCCTCTGGTAAAACCATAGGGTTTCCAGGGCTGTAAATCTTTATGGAAGCAGACTGCCTGATCTTTCTCCCACAGAACAACTGGTGGGTTTGAACTGCTGGACTTTTTTTTTTTGGTTAGCAGTCGAAAGCCTTAACAGCTGTGCCAGCAGAGCTTCCTTTGTGTAGGCCAAGAATGCAGTAAAATTTCTAGCTGTTTCTGTCAGATCAGCAAATGCCCTCAGGACAAAATCAACTTTCTGTGTTAGGCCTACCTCTCTGGTTCTCGTTTTTCAATATATTTAAGAATGTGTTGTTCATATTTAATGAAGCTTTTTTAAGTTGTTCTGAAGGATTAGTTCCAGTCACTTAGCCCACCATTGTAGGAAATGGCATTTCAGTAGCTTTTGCCGCTCTGATTTGTATTGTTAGGGTGATGCAGTGGTTAAGTGCTTGGCTGCTAACCTAAAGATCAGTGGTTCAAACCCACCAACCTCTCTAGAGAAAAGACCTGATCTGCTCCTGTAAAGATTACAGCCTAGGCCCTGGGGGGCAGTTCTCTGTCCTGTGGGGTCACTATGAGTTGCAGTCAACTTGAGGGCACACAAAAACAACAAGATCTCACTTTTTGCTTATTCATTTTGTAATCCAGTTTGGGTCATTCGAAATACATGCTTGATTTAAAAGCCTGCCCCATTTTAATCCATTCATTCAATAAATATGTTTTGAGTACCCACTAGGTTCTTGGGAGCTCTGGTGGCTAATGCATCTGACTGCTAACCAGAAAGCTGGCAGTTCAAACCCACTGGCCACTCCTTGGAAGGAAGGTTGGGCAATCTACTTCAGTAGTGATACTGCCTCCAACCCAAGGAGGGGTTGCTATGAGTCGGGTCCAACTTTATGGCATTGAGTTTGGTTTGTTTTTTTGTTCTAGGTTCTTAACTCTGTTGAGAGCACTTGAACCAAACCCATGAAAATCCTAGACCTCATTGAACTTATATGTAGGTGGGGGGGAGACAAGACAAATAAGTACAACATGTGTGTTAGTCATAAGCATCAAGGAGAAAACAGTAAATCCTGGAAAGGTGGTAAGAAGTGTCAGAGGTACTGATATTTTGATAAGGGGCACAGGGAAGGCATCATTGAGAAGGTAAGATATGAGTAAACACTTGAAGTAAGAGTAAGCCATGAGGAAGCCTGGGGGAGGAACATCCTAGACAGAGAATGGCAAGTACAAAGTCATAGGTGGGTATGTGCCTGTATCCAGGGAACAACAAGGGGCTGAAGTGGAGGGGAGGTGGGCACTTGTGAGAGATGAATCACGAATAATAGGCCTTACAGGTCACAGGAAGTGCTTGGACTCTTACCCTGGTGTGATGGAGAACCACTGGAGGAGTTTGAGTAGAAGAGTGATATGATCTGACTTCATACTTTAAAAGACTCCCTCTGATGACTGTGTTAACAGTTGGCTGGAAGGGGGAAAGGTACAAGCAGGGAGACCAATGAGTAGGCCGTTGCTATTACCTAGATGAGAGACAATGGTGGTTTGGACTAGGATAG